CAAAAATGGACAAATGAAAATCATTACTCCTACTAAAAAAGGATTATGCGAGAATCAGCATAGGCCACACCCAAAAACATTATTCAAACCATCCCTCACACATTTCATGTGATCGTACTGGTAAATTGTTTATGTAAAAAATAGCTGTTTTAATATGTGACCATATACAAATCTAATTAGGTTCTGCTACATATAAGATATAATCATAAAATTACAGCTGTTTTCATAAATTCTGGGAAGCTGGAAAATTTCCGCTAAGATATTGAGTCGGGAATCAATAAATTATTGCGTCAGCTGATATTGAAACTTATTTCCCCAGTAAACCGCAATAATAATCGCTTTCGAAAACTTGTTCTTTTAACTGATTAGTGATTTCAACCGTTTTTCAAAAGTTGTGGAAAAATGCAAATCATCACCATACCACGATATTTCTCAGATATTCGGACTTTTCAAAATCCGCTCTAACGGATCTTTTAATTTTTACTAGCCCGAATTTTCAAGGCCTACTCTAATCGGATCTTTTAATTTTACTAATCAGGCCTACTCTAATCGGATCTTTTAATATTACTAATCACCCCTACACAAACCGGATCTTTTATTTTTTACTATTCAGACCAGGGATGGGGAATACTTCTACTATCATATTGAAATTTTTATCATACTAACATCAAATATTCCATTTATTCTATTTTACTCCATTTTATTCCGGTAACAATCGGATTATTAGATTAACACATGATACTATATTTAAGTTCAGCATTTGCAAGCAATTTATTTATTTTTTATTTTAGCAATGTAATCAAATTTTATTTTTGATTGTTAAAATATAACATTGTAAGAAATTTAAGCGATTCTGTGCTTAAATTATGCCTATCATCATCTAAAATTTTGTTATAGGCAGAAAAACTTCGTTCTACGGCACAAGCAGAAATTGGTAACCAGATATAATAGCGGGCAATTTTTTCTAAAAGAGGAAGTTGCGAAGCAACCTTGTCCCAAAACATACGTAGATCTGTAAATTCTATAGTATTCAAGTTAATATTGCAATAATTGCCCATTCTTGAAGAAGAGATGGTGAAGGATTAACAAGCTCTTTAATAATTTGATAGGAACAGATGTCCCGATTAGCAGTTGTTAGTGTTAAAAACCGTGGATTAAAAATTTGAACTGCTCGGAACAAAGAACATGCAGGATGTTGTAAAACATGGTTTTGAAGTTTTTTGTAAGCAGCATTAAATGCTTGCTGAAATACCGGGGCAAATAATGTTGCAGAAGCATTTAATTTTTGTAGTACTGCATTTACTATTGGCCCAAAATTAGTCGCTGTTGTTCCTGCAATTATTCGTGCTTCAAGTTGTTGTAATCTTTGCTTAATAAAAGGAAACATCGGTTTAGTTTCTTGTTGAAAAAAGTCTAGATCGGCAACAAAATGCTCTGCATTTTCTTGAATAAATGCCAGATAAATTTCTATACAAGAATTTACTCGTTGATCAACAAAACCTAAATTAATTTGCTCAATTGTTGGTGTAGAATTTTCTCTACCTTTTTCATTATAAAATCTACGAATATAGTCCAAGTGTTGATACATATAAAATGCCATATGAAATCGAGTATTCCATCGTGTTGCATTAAACAGTGGTATGTTTGTTGGATTAGATACTCCATGGCGACAAAGACATGATAGATAACGTGCACGTCTACTTTTACACAAACTAAAAGTTTGTTTAATATTTGCGAGCAACTGGTAGATGATTTGAAAGTGCTCAATTGAAAACCATGCTTCTCTAAAAAAAAAAAAAAAATTAATACTGGTAATGTAAAAATAAACAAAATTAAAGTACTAACCCGATGAGGTTAACAATATGTGCTAAACATGGTAAGTGCATTAATTGCGGCATTATAGATCTCAATATTTCACGAAAACTTTTCTTCATATAAGCAGCCAAATCTGACACAATTAACAATGGTAGATCAAAAGGAATTGACCATTGAACTAAAATTTGAACTACAAGTTGACCTATACTACAATTATTAACTGTCTCTAGATAATCAACATGAACTAATTTTGTTACACCTTCGTAACTAAAAAGTATGTTAACCACACTTCGAGCTCTAACATCAGTCATTTCATCCACGATGATTGAAACTCTTTGATTATTGAAATATTCTTTAAGTTGATTAAGATGCTTTTCAAATGCTTGTAGCAAATATTCACGTCGTAAAGTATGTGCTTTTGGTATAATTCCTCCCTCATAGCAATTTTTGCATAACCATCCTTGAAGTTTATCGATCTTCTCTAATGGAATATCCGCAGTGGCAAATGCATCCACTAAATCAAATACGACAGTTTTCTTTATTTGCAATTGATCAATTGTGGATTGAAGTGCTACATAATATGGTTCAGGATGTCTTTCCTTATTTTGTATGTGTTTTTTAGAATTTATGTGAGAAATAATTGAATTTTTCATGTAGAAATTAACACTGCGGCCACAAAATTTACACATAAGTTTTTCATTATCAACGAAAAAATCTTCAGGAAATTCTCTCGCACGAGAGAAAACTGTAACAGCAGAAGGTGGCATTTTACAAATTTATTGAATGTAAATTGCAAGTTTATATAAGTATCGCTAAGAACTTCATAACGATACTTTATATTATTAATATATAGTTTATTACTAATAGTTACGTAAAGTTTACATACTATATGTGAAATCTACAATTGTGATTGGTTATTTGTACATCATTTATACAAACCAGCGTCATTTTGTTAAAAATTCCATTTACTTCCGATAATCAGTAAAAATTCCATTTTATTAATTTATTCTATTCTATTCTTAATAGAAGTATTCACCGTCCCTGATTCAGACCCACTCTAATCGGATCTCTTACCTTTTATTAATCAGAATTTCCAAATTCTTCGATTCCATAAGGAAATTGTTTACCACATCTTTTTGAAACAGCTATAAACCACATCGTGACATCAATAGAAAAAGAACGATAACACTTATTTCCCGCTACGGGGGGAATAATCCAGCAGATCTCCGGCTTTGTGAGAACCGAAGGATTTCATAAACGGGTATTTACTTCTTATTCCTGCCGTTACGAGAAATAAATAATTCGCAGATTTTTTATAATAATTGAATGTTTTATATTCGGCTTTTTCTATACCTATTCCACATTGACAAAAATTACCAAGACTACTCATTCCATAAGGATTTTCCATATCAGCAGATTGATTAATTCTAGAATATTGCGGAAAAATAACGTAACCGCAATCTATACGTATGGTAGTAGATCCGAAATCATCTGCTTGTGCTACATTAAAGAATACGAAACAAATCTCCTTATTTAAAAGTGTATATAAGGCAAAGCAATTAAAGTCAGAGTTAATTTGAGTTGGAGTTAAATTAAGGTAAGGTTAAAGAAAAATCGCTCTCTTGGCATTTTTATTAATGTCCCAAATTAGGTTTAGACTGTTTTATTTTTCATCTTTTTCGCTTTTTTTAGTAAAAATTTACAATTTGATTGGTTTATCGACGTAGACCTTCAGAATAAGAAAAATTGAAAAACGGGTCGGTAAAATGGGGACAAAATTGGTTAACAGAATAAGGAAAAATATTAGAAATGTGATCTGAGTGGTAATATTCACCGATTCATCGACAGACTTTTAATTCTAACTAACGCTAACTCTAAATTCTTTAACTCTATGGGGCTATCCCAGAATTTGCCTGAACAATGAATTATTCTAAATTGGGCTAGGCCTAATTCTAAATCGGGAAAATGGTTGTTGGAGAAAGATCTATTTCATTAAAATTTATTTCTCATTTCATTTTATTTGCGTTAATTTCGGCGAATATTATTTATGCGATAACAATATTTTGCTGAGATTATAAACTGTAATGGTTCATATGATTTTTTAATTATAAACTGCATATTAAATTTTTTTTTTATGTAAATACAAAAATATATTGATCAATGTATACATTTATGAAACTAGATGTTTTTAAATTGTCAATAAAATTTTAGCTCCAGGTATCTGCAGTAACATTACTTATTTTCCTAGTTATTATTCTCTGTTATTTGACGTACACGTTTCAGTCTAATTTACAAATGACCAATTTTTCATTCGGACTATGCTCAACAGAAATTTCAGTCGACCATTCATTGGTGCACACTAACATTTGGACGATCTAACGTAATTTATATTATTTTTATCGTTATATATAGTTAAGACTAAATTATCACCCAGTCACATTTTACATGTTTACATTTTCTCTATGACGTGCACTTACAGTATCAATTCATGAAATCTCTATAAATACGGGAAATGTTCTTCAGAAATTTTGCCATCAAAATCTCTACGATTACAAATATTGTTAAAATACTTCTCATAAATATATTTAAAAATCTCTTTAAAGTTTCCAAATTTAAATAAAAACATTTATCATGAATCAAAAATTATTTATCTTGTTACTTGCTGTTATGTTTTTCAGTGGTTTGGTGCCATTTATAAGTGCACTTCCTTCTCCTCGTCGCGACTGTCCTGATCCAGCAGAAACACCATTTTGCGATGGTAAGTTTTTACTTTAATAAAATTATTTTACATAAATTACAATTTATTTTAATCTATTTAAAAATTAATTACAGGTGCGGAGGTGTGTATCTTTAATCAGAACACTCAAGAGTGTACATGCTCCTGTTGCGATGATAATGGAACAAATTGCGAACAAAATTTTCCTTAGTTAATAATATATGCATTTATTATTCAAATTTCTTTCTTTTTTTTTATTCTACTTTTTTTTCATGTCGATTAACAAGTTAAATTACTCATTTTTTTCATTTTTTCTGTCGTTTAACAAGTTGAATTTCTCTTTTTTTTTTTCCTGCCATTTGATAAAACAATTTAAATTTCTTATTTTTTCCTTATTATTTAAGAAGTTGGTAGATTTTATTAAATTATAAAAAATTAGAATTTGCACATGTGAGTGATGAAAATTCAAACACTTATTATCTGTACAAAAGTTATCAGTTTAGCTTTATTTGTCTAGTTATAATTTTTCTTGTACTATAATTTATCATATTAGATAATGATTCATGTAACATTGATCAATTATTATATTATCATCTTTGTAAT